CACATTTACCTTTCTGGGGGCTCTGCACAGCCACATTCACCTTTTGGGGGGCTTTGCAGGGCCACATTTACCTTTTTGGGGGTTCCTCAGAGCCACATCCACCTTTTTGGGGGGCTCTGCAGAGCCACATTTACCTTTCGGGATGCTCTGCAGAGCCACATTTACCTTTTTGGGGGCTCTGCAGAGCCACATTTACCTTTCGGGATGCTCTGCAGAGCCACATTTACCTTTTTGGGGGCTCTGCAGAGCCACATTCACCTTTTCGGGGGCTCCACAGAGCCACATTTACCTTTTTGGGGGCTCCTCAGAGCCACGTTCACCTTTCTGGGGGCTCCTCAGAGCCACATTCACCTTTTGGGGGGCTCTGCAGGGCCACATTTACCTTTTTGGGAGCTCTGCAGAGCCACATTTGCCTTTTTGGGGGCTCTGCAGAGCCACATTTACCTTTCAGGATGCTCTGCAGAGCCACATTTACCTTTTTGGGGACTCTGCAGAGCCACATTTACCTTTTTGGGAGCTCTGCAGGGCCACATTTACCTTTTTTCGGGGCTCTGCAGAGCCACATTTACCTTTCGGGACGCTCTGCAGAGCCACATTTACCCTTTTGGGGCTCCACAGACCCACATTTACCTTTTGGGGGGCTTTGCAGAGCCACATTCACCTTTTTGGGGGCTCTGCAGGGCCACATTCACCTTTTTGGGGGCTTTGCAGGGCCACATTTACCTTCTTGGGGGCTCTGCAGAGCCACATTTACCTTTTTGGGGCTCTGCAGAGCCACATTTGCCTTCGCCCCCCCAAAAGATGCTCAGGGGTCTCGAGGCCACACGCAGCCTCCACAAGCTGTTTTGAGAGCTGCATTTTTATTAAAAACACGACCTGACGAGTCCCCGATGGGCATACAGGGGACAGGTCCCTGATGGGCATGGAGGGGACAGGTCCCCGATGGGCACGGAGGGGACTCGGGCACGTGGCTGGAAACCCAGGAGTGAGGGGGATGCATTAGGTGCTGGCACCCACCGGACTCGCGGTGACACCGAGTCACCGTTTTGGGCCTCAGGACCAGGGCAACTCTCGGCCGTTGTTCAGCAGCAGCGACGTTCCTGGGGTAAAAAGAAGAAAAACCGTGATCATTCCCAAGTGGAAACTCCATTTCCTCCTGCAGAAGTTCTTTGTGGGTATCGTGCAGACCTGCAGCGCTCGCCGCTCCACAAAGGAGTCACAGCAGCAACTGTCAGCTCAGAAGAAACTTGGACTTCTCTTATTTTTTGCAGGAGTTTTGTGGATCGGGTGCAAGGAAATCAGCTCCATGAAGGGAATTCAGGTGCAACTTTAACCTTGTCACTCCATAATTAAAAGGAGGAAGACAACTATTTCTGTAATTGCAAAGCTCATTAGAAGCACAGGTGCAATTCTGCATCTTTTCAAGACAACTTATCAACCAATTATAGCTTGTTTGGCACCACTAAAAAGAAAGGAAGCAAAGTATATTATTATTATCTTGAATTTTGTATATTATATATATTTTTTAAAATTGCCACTTCCTTCTTATCTCTAAGCAGGGGAAAAGGAGGGAAAAAAGACAAAAACCTCAGACAAAACACCTCGGCATTGGTAAGTCTTAAAAATGAGCACAGCTTGGTAAAGCTGAATTATTTTTACTTATTTTTCACATCCATATTAGCTGAAAGGAATTACACCTTCTGTCTTTGCAGAAAGAAAAGCTAACGGACTAATTTTAAACCCTTGCCTCCTAACTGGGTTCATCCTAACATATTCATAACTTGCTTCCAAAAATGCACTGGCTATATATGAGCAAATATATACACTAGAACTCAGGCAATGTGCACTTATGTTGCAAACACCACGTTCTCCTGAGGCTAAATTCTATCCTACATCTCTTGTGTGTATAGAAAGGTTTCTTGAATTAACATAATGCAGAGGAGACCATCCTCTTATTATCAAGATAATACGATAATATTTAGTGTCGATTAGCAACAAATTAGAGCTTGGTGCACGGCGAGGTGATACACGGGCACAGTGCTGAAGTTCATGCTTAGATCCCCCAGTTTCCCTAGGAATTAAGCATGTGCTTAACATGTGGCAGAGGTTACTGCCGCTGCACAAATATTAACAAACCCACAACGGGCACTGGCCACATTTTCATTAATAATCAAATTCCTGTGTTCAAGCATCTTTGCCCGAGTACAGCTGTTATTTGAGACTGCGGTGCAATTCTGCTGAGAGCCTGGTTTGCATATGCTGTACTGTGATTATGAATATTTAAATACTTCCATCTAGCTGAATTTCAGGCTCATTTACATACATTGGCATACTATTTAATACAATGCATATGGGGAAAGGGTGCATGTTGCATTTTTAATTTTTCTTCAAGAGGAATTGATTTTATGAGTGCCGAAAAGCTTTTTCTTCGGGAAAATAGTTTGTTGGGGAGGGGAGGAGGGGGTTTTAATTAACTATTTGACAGAAATAGCTGGTAAAACTAAAATGCTGACTGTAAGAACGTGTCCTTTGTCCCAGCACTTGCTCTGTCAATGAGAACTCTTGGTAAGTGACCAAATTAATATTGCAGCTTTCCCGTCCACACTTCTTTTGCTGACTTGCCTGCTCCAATCAGACTCATTACTGGGTCAGGGAAGGGTTTGCACCTGCCCATGTGGTTTCTGGCACAGCTAATTTCCTACAGAAAGGTTTCCAGTGCTACAAGGTACAAATATTCCATGAACCAGCTTATTCCAGATGTGCCAAGAACAACTGAGGGCACAGGGAAGAGCTAGCCAGACTTTATTTTGGCCTCCCTGCAGCAAAGCAACTCCAGTTATTCACAAACTTTGCTGAATCTGATCTTAAGCACGAGCTTCCAGTGACCGTAGACTTGGGGCCCTTGGAGTTGTTTTTCTCCCTGAAAGTTGTAAATATGCTTTAAAAATTCCATAGGATTTTCAGGCCTTGTCACGTTGTTATGTTGGGTGAAATCTGGTCCCAGTAAAGCCAGGGACAGAAACCCCTCAACTTCACCCACAGTGGAAGGAAGAGCAGAATTTGGCCTGGGTGGAAGATCTCATAAAGTAACTATTAACTGTTTATTCTTCATTTTTTATGTCATTAATTACAGGCCTACACCTGCAGGCTGCTCACTGCCTTAAACCACCTTTCACCTCCGATTACTCACCTGAGTAAAGCTGCACCAACACGTATCTGCTTGCGGGGCCAGCAGCAGCTGCATTTTTGCACTTTCCTATAAAGCAGCAAACCAGAGAGATTATCCAAGCCAGTTAAGCTCTCAATTGGGCTTAAATAACCTCCCAACAGGCAAAGACTTCCAGCATCTTGCCCCAAATCAGGCAGCCCATGTAGGGCTTTACCTGTTTTACAAGTCATTTGCACAGCCCTTCTGAGGCCAACGCCTCCTCCTTGCCCTTTGCTCCTCCCCAAACATTTTCACTTTTCTTTTGCAAGGAAGTTTTCTGCACAGTGACACAGCAGAGCAGCAAAAGGCGTGTGTTTATAAGAATAAGGAAGGCCTGAACAGCCTCATTTTGGAGCAATTTCAGCAAGCCCTGGGGTTTTGCAGAACTGAGTTTGCAGAAGGTGCATCCGAGCTCAGAAATTACCTTCCTGGATGTGGTTTCCTTCACTGCCTGGAGGTGCTGCCCCCTTCCCCTGCTTTTGCAGCACTTAATTTCAACCCACCTCGCTCAGCATTTCCCTGGGCAGCTTTCAGGCTATCTTCTCTGCCACTTTAAAGGGTAAATATGTATTTTTTTTTCACAGTTCCTGTACAGTTGCAAGGTGAAGAACATTTTCTGGGCATGAATGATTTATGAAGCCCTCCCAGGCACACCAGCCAACGTGCATATTCATCAGGCAGCCGGTCCATTATTCATGAGGAGTTCACTTAAGCAGGAAGAGAACAATGATATTGTTGATTGAGGTGCTTGAAAAATGAACTTGATAGAGAAGGTTCTGCCCTCTAACCCTGATCTAAATGCAGAAAGTTTACCAAAATCAGGAAAGAAGGCTGTCTGTTTTCTTCATTTCCCCCCTTTTTTTTTTTTTTTTTGCTATTCATACGGATTTTTGAAGTTTATTTCCAAGAAGGAGGACATTACACATAGAAACTGCTAGGAAATTGCATCATACCTTCCCCACACACAGCTCCAAACCTCCAACTGCACCTTCTGCTGGTGGATCTCGGGCAGGGGATTGAGACAACAGGTTTCTGCACAGCTGATTCAAACCTCACTGAAGATCTTTACTTTTATGTCTGAAGTTCCGCAACAACATCAGGATCCAAACCCCTATTGAGAAACCTGCAATGGATTTTTATATCAATATTTAGACCCTAAACTCATACCAAAGTCATTAAAGACAGGTTAACACTGGAAAAGCCTCTCAAGGTTAGATCACAAAGGCCAAACCAGCTGATAATGTTCATGGCAAACACACAACAGTTTAAGAACTGCCAACTTTTGTAAATTTGGGTCTAATTGAAGACAAGAGGGGGCCTGAATCACAGAGGTGATGTTTCCGTTCATCTACTGCTGTGCTGTTGCTGGATGAAGGGGACCAGCAGAGCCAGAGCCTGGTACCAATGGGTCCTGCTGCAAGACCCGTTGGGGACACTGCTGTCCCAAAGGAAACTTGGGGTCTTGCTGCCACAGGGAGGCAGAACAGAGGGCCTGAGGGAGCATTTGGGGCCTCCAGCATCAGCTCCAAAGATATTGTTTAGAAGAACCAACAGGACCTGGAGCTCCAGGGGCAGCAGAGCCCTCGCTGTGCTAACGAGCGGCTCTGCCTGCTGATGCTTTACGTTGTCCTTAAGGCTTAATTAAGCTTAACAATATTTGGAGGTTACCAACCATTTCCATTGATCTTTTATGCATGAACTCGGAGGTGCCTTCTGGAGTGGTGCCTGATCCGGGAGGAAGCAGGGAGACGCCAGGGGCTCTCCCTTCCTACCGGACCCCGCCAAGACCCTCATGAGGGAGCTCAGCTGGGTCCTGCTGTGGGGGGGACCCCTCGGCACCCCTGAGCCCTGCAAAGGACCCCCCAGACCCTGCTGGGGGACTGTTCTCACCCCCAGGCTCTGCTTAGAGCCCCTCCTTTCACCCAGACTCTACCTTGGGTCCTCTCCTTCCTTGCTAGGCCCTTCCATGGGGTTAGGGTCCATTGGGATCCCCAAAACTACTCCAAGCCCCAGGGGGATCCCTATTGGGGCTTTTTTAAGGCTCCTCCACCCTGGAGCCTGTCTGGGGTCCCCTCCTTCCTTGCTAGGACTTCTGTGGGGTTAGGGTTCATTGGGGTCCCCAAAACTACTCCAGGCCCCAGGGGGATCCCTATTGGGGCCTTTTTAAGGCTCCTCCACCCTGGAGCCTGTCTGGGGAGCCCCCCTCTACTCCAGGCCCTACCTGGGGACCCCTCTCTCCCTGCTGGGCCTGGAGAGGGGGTCTCACCTCACCTAGGGGGCTGTCCGCTCCTCCACCCTGGAGCCTGTCTGGGGAGCCCCCCTCTACTCCAGGCCCTACCTGGGGACCCCTCCCTCCCTGCTAGGCCTGGGGAGGGGGTCTCACCTCACCTAGGGGGCTGTCCAGCTCCCCCCCAGCTCCCCGGCCCTGCCAGGAGGTCCCTCTTCCCAACAGAGAGGCCCCGGGACCCGCCATCCCACCCCAGACCAGACCCGGGGCCTCCTCTCTCCCCCGGGCCCCACCTGGAGCTCCCCATTTCCTACCTTCCCCCACCCAAGGCCCCCTCACTGCTCTTAGGCCTCATTTAGAGGCCTCTCTTCCCCTCTGGACATCCCCAGGCCTCGCTTGTGGCCACCGGACCGGACCGGACCGGACCGGACCGGACCGG